CCTTCAAGTGTGACCATCTCCCCTCAGTTAAGAGATCCTTTCTGTTGGTCCTGCTTGTGTTCCGGGGCTTCTCTGACTTTGGGCTCCATGCATCTGGCTTCCTCTTGTGGCAGGATTCTCAAGTTGTATTTCCTTTTGTTTTTAATTTGCGTATGTCATCTTTTTTTATTTATTTTTTCAGATAAATTTGTCTCTGCCTTTCAAGTTGTATATCTTGTCCTCATCTTTCAATGTATCTGGCCAGTAGTTGGTAAACTCCCTCTCCCATTAAAAAAAAAAAAAATTTTAGGTCCAGAGAATCAAGGTGGCAGAGGAGCGAGTAGAAGTAACACTGACCTCCTCCCAGGACCAATCTGGAATTACAACTAAATGGTGGAGAAATTACCTGGGACAAACAACTGAACAATAGTGGGAGTGGAGCCTTACAACCTTGGACAGACAGAAGAATCGGTTTTAGCACAATCTAACTGGTCAGGAGTGCAGTAGAGACCTGAGAAGTCTGTACCCACGGGTGGCAGCACCAGAAGGACATTGAAAAGGCCAGTTGGATCCCCCTGAGAAGAGCGGGGTCTAAACCAAAAGCAAGGACCTCTAGCCCACAGCACCAGAGCCAAAAAAAGTACACAGAAAATAGCCAGCTGTGAAAAGCGGCAGGGTTGCTCTCTGCCAGAGAGAGGCAGCAGGAGACGCAAAGAACTGTTTAAGGGGCCAACATATAAATTATTATTTGCAGCCACTTACTCTGGTCTCCAGCAAAGGCAGGGAAGAGTGGACTAGAGACGCCTGAGGAGAGACTGGGGAAGGAGGCTGTGAGGCGAAAACTGAGAGTAGGTGGCGGGATCTCGGTGCTGACTCATCCCCCATGCGGCAGCAGCCATCTTGCTCAGGCAGAGACGTCTGCCCCTGAGCAGCAGCAGCCTCAGGAAACCCATTGCCCCGCCCCCATGTGGGATTTCACCCTGTGCTGTCTAAGCTGCCTGCTGAGTGCAGAGTGGCAGCCACAGACAGTAGACTACTGGCTCTAGCCCCCTGGCTAGAGGGGGTGCAGAGAGGTCTGGAGACTCTTGAGGAGAGACTGTAGTTGGAGGCTTTGGGGAAAGAATGGAGAGAGTAGCTTGCGGGATCCCAGTGCAGACTTCTCCCCCATACGGCAGCAGCGTGAGAAGACCCAGTAACCCCACCCCCAGGAGGTTCTCTGCCCCACGCTGAGCTGTCTCAGGCGGCCTGCTGAGTGCAGAGTGAATAGATTAACAGATGAAGGAGACAGCTACAGACAGTAGACTACTGGGAGTCTCGAACAGGCTGCCTAAGGTCAGACAGGGACAACATCTGACATCATCAGAGGCAGATCCAAAAATAAAAAACAGAATTCTCCAACCATAGAAGTTCATACCACAAAGTCAAGAAATCAAGACAGATCAATTTAAGAAGCAGAAGCAAAAGAGAAGGGTTTCACAAATAACGGGAAGACAAAGAAACACCTCCCAATCGAATGCCCCACTCAAAGGGAAAGAAGGAATCCCCAGAAAGAGAACTAAGTGAAATAGAGGCAAGTAAACTATCAGATATTGAGTTCAAAGCAACGGTTCTAAGGAAGCTCAATGAGCTCACTGAGCTCAAAGACAATTACACAAAAACTACAGGGAAACTATGAGGAACTTACTGCAAACTATATCAGCATCGAAAAGGACATAGAAACTATCAATAAGAGACAAGAGGAAATGCAGAATACAATTTCTGAATAAAGAACACAGAAGAAAGAATCAAAAGCAGGCTAGATGAGCTGAGGACCAAATCAGAAAGCTGGAGGACAAGGTAGAAAAAAGCTCCCAGAAAGCAAGAAAATGAAAAAAGATTCAAAAAGAATGAATAGGCATTTAGGGAAATGCAGGGCACCCTGAAGCATAATCATATCCATATAAGAGGGATACCAGAAGGAGAAGAAGAGGAGCAAGGGATAGAGAACCTGTTTGAAAGAGTCATGATGGAAAACTTCCCTAATTGGAGGAGAGAAAAAGTCACACAAGCCCAGGAAGCACAGAGGGTCCCATTCAAGAGGAACCCAGTGAGGCCCACGCCAAGACACATCATCATTACAATGGCAAACAGCAAAGACAAACAGAGAATCCTAAAGGAGGCAAGGGAGAAAGAGGAAGTAACATACAATAGAGTCCCAATACAGCTAGCAGCTGACTTCTCAACAGAAACACTACAGGACAGAAGTGGAATAGCAAGAAATATTCCAAGTCAGGAAAAGCAAAGGCCTGCAACCAAGACTGCTCTACCCAGCAAGGCTCTCAATTAAAATGGAAAGCGAAAGAAGGAGTTTCCCAGGCAAAAGAAGGCTAAAAGAATACACCTCCACCAAACCAGCATTGCAAGATATGATAAACGGACTGCTTTAAGAAGATGAAAAAAAAGAGTCTATGAATACCCAGTTCCTTTCACAGCTACCAATACTTGATATTAACAATATTTAATACTTATTAATCTGATTGTGATGATGGTATGTTATTTTGTTACTTGATTATTTGTTGAAACAGAACCTGTTTTTGTATTTTTCTTGCCTATTTCTATTATTTTTTTAACAGCTTTAAATGACTTTTTGGTATTCTTTATCCATTTTTTGATTAAATGTTTGTAGAATTTTTTCCCTAAAAAGACCCAACTATTTACCCTTTTTTAGATGTGTTACAAATACTTTCCTTTTCTATTACTTGTCTTTTAACTTTTTTAATATGTATATTACTGTATAGTGTTAAATGTTTAATATAGTCATATTGTCAATATTTTCCTTTATAACTTCTGGGTTTGAATATTTTGCTTCAGAGTAAGAAAAATATTATTTTGTGTTTTCTCCTAAAACTCCTTAGATTTTACATACTGATTTTTAATTCACCTGAATACTTTGTGTATAATGTGTGAAATAGGGCTCTATATTTGTTTTTTTAAGATTTTTATTTATTTATTTACTTTTAGAGAGGGGAAGAGATGGTGGAAGTGAGGGACAGAAACATCAATATGCGGTTGCATTTCGCGCACCCCCTGCTGAGGACTTGGCCTGCAATCCAGGCATGTGCCCCACACTGGGAATCAAACCAGCAACTCTTTGGTTTGCAAGCCAGTGCTCAATCCACTGAGCCACACCAGCTAGTGCTCTATATTTGTTTTGTTTCAAGTAATAGTGGTCCATGCACCTTATTTGTTGAATAAGCCTTATTTTCCCCATGGATTTGAAATATCAATTTAATCATATATTGCATTGTTAGACAGAGATATATGTTTGTTTCTAGAATGCTCATTTTATTTCATTGGTCTACTTGACTATTTCTGTACTGGTGTCATGTTAATAAAAATAAGAAGCTTTTGCATGGCTAAAGAAAACATCAGCAAAATGAAAAGGGAACCAACTGTATGGGAAAATATATTTGCCAATGAAACCTCAGGCAAGGGTTTGATCGCCTAAATATATAAAGAACTCATATGACTGCACTCCAGGAAGACAAACAATCCAATTAAATAATGGGCGAAGGACCTGAACAGACACTTCTCTAAGAAGGACACAGACAAGGCCCAGAGACATGAAAGGATGCTCAGCATCATTAGCCATCAGAGAAATGCAAATTAAAAGCACAATGAGATACCACTTCGCAGTGGTCAGAATGGCCAGCGTAAACAAATAAACGAACAAGTTTTGGCAAGGTTGTGGAGAAAAGGGAACCCTAGTACACTGTTGGTGGGAATGCAGACGGCTGCAGCCACTGTGGAAAACAGTTTGGAATTTCCTCACAAAGCTCACAATGGAACTGCCTTTTGACTCAGCAAGTCCACTTCTGGGATTATACCCAAAGAATCCCAAAACACCAATTCAAAACAACCTATGCACCCCAATGTTCATAGCCGCACAACTGACAATAGCCAAGTGCTGGAAGCAACCTAAGTGCCCATCAATAAATGAGTGGGTCAAAAAACTATGGTACATTTACACAATGGAACATTACGCAGCAGAAAGAAGGAAAGAGCTACTACCCTGCACGACAGCATGGACGTAACTGGAGAGCATCGTGCTAAGCGAAATAAGCCATGAGGTTAAAGACAAGTACCATATGATCTCACCTATAAGTGGAACGTAACCAACAAAACAAACGGGCAAGAAAAATACAACCAGCAGCACTGAAAGAAAAAACAAACTAGCAGTGACGAGAGCGTATTAGGGAGGGGGATTACGGGGAAAAGAAGGGGAAAGGTCAAGTCATGGAACATGTATAAAGAACCCATGGAAAAGCCAAAGAGGGGAAGGGTTGAGGGTTGCTGTGGGCATGGGTCAGGCAGGGGAAAGTGGTGGCAGGAATGTGGAGACACATGTATTTGAACAATAAAAAAATGTTTTTAATTTTTTAAAAATCCTGTGTTTTCCTTAGCTGCTCCTGTAACTCAGCCGCCAGCCGTCTCATATCTGCACTGTCTGTCTTCATTCATCGGAGGCCCCGCGAGGCCAGGGGAAGAATCCGGCAGCTTCCGCAGTGACTCCGCAGAGCCTGGCACCGTGACCGCACCTGGCCCCTACTCAGTCAATACTGCCCGACGGCCTGGTCAGGGAGAAAAGGGGGAAAATGGCCGTGACAGAGGCTCAGGAGAGGGACGTGACTTATGCAAGGAAACAAACGTTCAAGGGAAAGCAGAGTCAGAATAGAAACAGAAATTGGGCTGCTCCTCTCCCAGTGTCCTCTACCCTCATGTTCCGGGGCAGGTGTCTCCCTCTGGGTTTCAGTGTCACGTGAGCTGGAGGCAGACAAGGGGGCTCTGCTGACACTCACCTCAGGGTGGAAGGTCCAGAGCTAGGTGCCTCCTGGGGCCCATCCTTCAGGGAGGGGCACTTCCCTTCCGGTGGCCGCCGATGAGGAACCTAAGACATGTCACATGATGCCAGGGCCCTGTACGCCCCATTTGTCACCCTGACTTGCCAGTGAATCTCACACGTCGTCTGCACACTGGAGACCATGGGAAGAGGCCCCAGGACCCCAACCCTCACAGCCCTCCTCTGCCTGGGTGAGCTGCAGGGAAGAGGAGGGGTGGGGGCCTGTCGCGTCCCAGGTCCTGGTCCTGAGGGACCCCAGGACACAGGAGGCTCATGGAAACAGAACTGCTTGGGGGAGGAGAGGTGGCTCAGCCCCAGATCAGACCCCAGCGCTGGGGGCCCAGACCAGGCCTGGAGCCTCTGCGTGTGGGTTGAAGGATGATCTCACGGGGACTCCCTTCCAGGGCTGTGTGGGGGCCCCTGGGACCAGGTCCGGGCAGGTGAGTCCTCCCCCTGACCTCCTGCTTCAGCACAATGACCCCTGGGCTGCTGGGGACACACAGTGGGTCTGCAACGATGGTGACCCGTCTGGGAGGGGCCTTGGAGTGACAGCTGGGGGAAGTGCAGGGAGAAGGGCACCCCCTGACACCGCGCGTCTGAACCCTTTTCAGAGGCCCTCCCCAGACCCTCCCTCTGGGCTGACCCGGGCCCCATGGTCAGCAAGGGCAGCCCTGTGACCCTCTGGTGTCAGGCGTCTCTGCGGGCTGATGCCTACGGTCTGTATAAAGAGAGGCGCTCTGAGCCCCGGCTTACGAGGATCCCACAGGCCTCCAGCAACAAGACCAGGTTCCGCATTCGATCCACGACATCACACCATGCAGGGCTATACGAGTGTGCCTACAGGGCTGGGCGCACCCTGTCTGAGCGCAGTGAGCCCCTCGTCCTTGTGGTGACGGGTAAGGAGGACCCCGGACCCCTCCCCACTGCGGGCTCCCCCTCAGAGGCTAAAGGGAACAGAATGGGGCTTTAGGGGGCCGCACCCCTCCCAGCCTGCAGCTGGGGAAGGTGGGGTGTTGCTCACCTTTAACTCTCATCCTCCTTCTCCCTCAGGAGCGTTCAGCGCCCCCTCCCTCGCAGCCCAGCCAAGCCCGGTGGTGGCCTCAGGGGGGAACGTGTCCCTCGTGTGTACCTCACAGTCCACATCCGGCCCTTTCCACCTGCTGAACGAGGGAGGGGCTGAGCCCCCCCGACGCATGGAATCGGAACGGAGGTCCAACGATGGGAGGTCGTGGACCCAGGCCGTCTTCCCAGTGGGCCCCGTGAGCGCCTCCCGCGGGGGGACCTACAGATGCTACGCATCCTCCGGCTCCTACCCCCACATATGGTCACACCCCAGTGACCCTGTGCACATCCAGGTCACAGGTGCGGTTTCCCTCACTAGACCTCAATTCCTTCCTGGGCCCCAAATAACTGATCTAAATCTAAATGGGGGTCAGTGATCCAGATTTACTGTGTTTGCGGACAGAACCACAAACAGGAGGCTTAGAGGGGGACACGTGAGGACTCTCCCTGCAGCCCCAGTGGAGGGGGGGATGGGTGTCCCCTGGCTGCCAATGGCCCTTCTCCCCAGGCCTGTACAGGTCGCCCTCCCTCCGGGCCCAGCCAGCCTCCCTGCTGCTGCCTGGGGACAACCTGACCCTCCAGTGTCGCTCGGAGCCCGGCTTTGACAGATTCGCTCTGACCAAGGACGAGGGGCCCGCACCCCCTCAGCGTCTCAAAGGGCAGCGCAGCCCCGACTTCCCCCTGGGCCCTGTGGCCCGCACCCACGGGGGCCGGTACAGGTGCTACAGCGGACACAGCCTCTCCCATGCATGGTCGGCCCCCAGCGCCCCTCTCGACGTCCTGATCGCGGGTGAGGAGCCCTGCCCTGTCCCCTGTCCTGACTGTCTGCTCAGAGCTCCAGACCAGGGTCACCGTGGCGGTGATAGGGCCCAGGAGAGGGTCCTGGAGCAGAGGCTGAGGGGCGAGGTCTAGGGAGGGAGTGAGCGTGAGGGAGGGAGGGGCATGGAGAGAGAAGACACTCACCCAGAGTGGTTGTGGGGTCACCGACAGCGTCCCTGGGGAAGGAGAGTATCTCAGCTCAGGGCCAAGGGCATGGGGAGTGGGGGGTGACCCTCTGCACAGCACCGCCCTCCCTCCCCAGGAGCGGACAGCAAACCCTCCCTGTCGGCCCGGCCGCCGCCCCCGGGGCCCTGGGGAGCCAACGTGACCCTGCTGTGTCGATCTGATACCAGAGCTGACACCTTCCACCTGCACAGGGAGGGCTCCCTGGACCCTCCCCTGGAGCTTCGACTGCAGGGCACGGCTGCCCCCTCGGAGGCCACCTTCACCATCAGTCCTGTGACCTCGGGCCACGGTGGGACCTACAGGTGCTACAGCTCCCACAGCGCCTCCCGCTTCCTGCTCTCACAGCCCAGTGACCCCCTGGAGCTCCTGGTCCCAGGTGAGGGCCTCCCACCCCATGTCCACTGAGGGAGCTGACCCCGCCCCAGGACAGCTCTGGGCTGGGGTGGGAACGGGGGGAAACAGCGAAGCCATCCACGGGGTATTCCCACCCCATAACAAGATGGAAAAGAAGGGGGGGTCGGCCACGCTCTCCATGCCTCACCCCACATGAGGGTCTGAGCAGGGCTGAGACTGAGAGTGTGAATTGCCAGCATTCGGGGGGCGGGGGGGATGGGATCTTAGAGGATATGAAGACACACGCAGCACCCCACAGCCTCCCTGGTCCCTGTTTCATGCAGCACTTGGGACCTGCCAACCTCCCCCTCACGGCCATACTCCCTGGCTGTCGGGTACCAGAGTCCCCTTAGCCCAGAGGAGACACAGTCTCCACCAGGCCTCTGCTCGTTTCCCAGTTTGTACTTCAACATATCAAATAGTTACAAAAGGATTTGTTTCCTCAAGGCCTGGGGATAAAGGTGGAGGCTTAAGGGAGGGGCCTCGCGTCTCAAGGAGCAGTGCGGTCCCGGGGCCTGTGTGGTCAGTGCAGAGCGAATGGACGGAGGGGAGCCTGGGCCGCACAGGTGGGAGAGGGAGCAGGCGCCTCTGTCCGTGGTGCTGAATCAGGGCCCTGCGTCTTCCGGGCCCCTGTGCAACCAGGCCCACGTGGGAGATGCAGGCAAGGGGTCCCCTCATTTCTGGGTCCCTGGAAGTGGGGTGCACTGGGAGTCTAAGCGGAACTGCGGCTGGCTCACCCTCCTTGAGGTGAATCCCAGTGACAAAATCCTATTTGTACCTGGGACATGATTCTCTCCTCTAACAAAGCAGAATCCGATCCAGGACTTGAACAAGTGCGATCAGCTGAGATCTCTGGGGCCAGTGAGTCCCTGTGGGAGAAGGAACAGGAGTCCACCCAGAGCTGGTTCCGTGTCCACGGGGAGCCACTCTCGTGACGAGGGTGTGGAGAGGCGGCGGGATTCCCGCTCAGCTCCCATGAGCCCCGGGGGGCGGCCGGGGCAGGGCGACCTCCAAGCCGCCCCCATCAGAGCTCCTGTCAGCGCCCCTCCCCCCTCAGGGTGCCCAGGGGTTTCCCGGGATTTCCTGTCTCAACTGAGCACAGCCTATCTTACATCAATACATAGCTGTATTTTTGTCCATGTGTTTACTTCAACAGTTGATTCTCTTATTTATACTGGCTGCTTGTTTCTTATCAATCTTCCTGTTCAGGCTACACACTCAGTGAATAATTAGGTCTGGTAGTTGTGGTCATCTTTGATCCCAGCAAGACTGCAAAGTGTATTGTATACCTTCCTTCATTTATTTCCTAACGAACAGGTCGATAGAGGTAATAAAAATGATGTGAAAATATATAATCCTCAGAGACACAAGGAACAAGCAGAAGTGAGGAAACTATAAGGTAGACCCAGCCCTTCATTCCTTCATGCTACGGATTTCGAGAAAAAATTAAGGCCCAAAAGGTCACCTTTGCAACCTAATTAGAGGCAGATATAAGGCCAGAGATGCTCATCTCAAGGGAAGCGACGGGCATCACAGGTTACAGGGACTCCCTGCAGGGCGGGGAAGACACGACGTGGCATTGCCACGTCTCCTCTCCCACAGCCTGCGTGTGACTGATTCTCAGGGGCAGCTGACACCTGGGACCATCACAGAATCAGTCAGACTCCAGGAGCGGAGAGGGAGGCGTAATTCTCAGTCACGGGGCGAAGGGCAGAGGGTCAGCTCCAGTCAATGGAAGTCAGGTGGTTGGACAGACATCCAGGGAACCTGGGGCGACTGTGCGTTACCCTGACCTCTGTGCCCTCTCTGTCCTCCACCTCCAGACTCAACCGCCCACGACTACACAGTGGGGAACGCCGTCCGGTTGGGTGTGTCTGGCCTGATCCTCCTGGTCCTCGGGGGGCTGCTGTTGGAAGCTTGGCACAGCCAGAGAAGACCCCGCGACGCGGCCAGGAGGTGAGCACAGGAGACAACAAACCCACCCTCCAGGAAGGCAGACGCTGGGAAAGAGTCTGATGATGCCCAGAAGCCCTGGAAGAAACCGTGGGAAGCGTGGGAAAGTGTGTGCAGAGGCCGTGGGGGCTGTGGGCGTGGCCCTCGCACGGGGAAGCGGCGGGGGCGGGGCTGCGGCTGCGGAGGCTCTTCCACAGTTAAACTGCGGTCGCCTCCCTTCCCGCCTCTGCTGGGTTTCCCGGACCGGCCCCTCTCCCCTCACCCCATTGACCTGGGGTCGCAGCCCCTCGCAGGTCAGACCCACACCTGTGCTCACCTTCTACCTCTGGTCCACTTTTATGGACGACGTTTTTCTCACGTTTATTGACCACATTCGCCGTGAGTCTCTTTAGCTAAGACAACAAATCCCTTTTAAACAGCTAAATAAATGGATAAATACCGGAATAGTCTAGACTCGTGGGCACGAACAGTAGCATGATGCTTCCCAGAGGGGAGGGGTCAGACTGAGACAGAAGACGGTAAAGGGAGAGGAACCCACGCGGACGAGGGGGAGCTTGGCTTTGGAAGGTGCACACCGTGCGCTGTCCAGACGGTGTGCCGTAGGACTGTGTGCTCGAAACCTCTGTCATCCTTTTAAGATTTCATTTATTTCTTTGTTTGTTTGTCTGTTTTGAGAGAGGGAGGGAGCGAGGGAGAGAAGCATTGACGTGGGAAAGAAACATCGATCTGTTGCCTCTCCGTCACCCTCCACCAGCGGCCTGTCCCGCAACCCAGCCACGTGCGCTGACCCAGAATCCGTGGAGCAGATAAAGGCCTTGGTGTGGTTCCTTCCTCCAGAAACGCCAGCAGGTGGGACGAGGGCGCAGGTTCTTCACAGGACAGTCAGGCGGTGCGTTTGTGAGCCACCTCCAAGAAAACACCGTTTAGGTTTTGCTTTTCCCAAAAGCCCTGACTGGTGGCACTTGCCGAATTCCCGGGCGTAGATGCTTCTGGAGCGCGGGGAGAGCCGCCCACCACCCTCCCCCGGAGCCTCCGTCATTGTCCCCACCCCCCACCAGCCTCACGGACTCGCGGCCGCGCACCCTGCGGGGCCCGTCGGCGGCGGGGACCTTCCTGGGTCACTTCGCCTCGTCGTGCTCAGGGCCGGCTCCGGGGGCGCACGAGGCGCTGCGGACGGACGGGCCCAGAGCGCGGACCCCGCCGCGGACCTGCGTGTGCGCCGCGTGGCTCGCCCGGGCCCGAAACCACGGCCCTGCCACCCCTGCGGACCGACCTGCGTGCGGTCCGCGGAGTTCCGACGAGGCGCCCGCCGTCCTCCCCGTCCCCCTAGTCCGGGTCCTCTCGCACCCGGTGCCGGTCCTAGGCCTGCGCCGCCGCCGCCAAGAGCCTCCGCTGTCCCTTCCGGGGCTGCGCCAAAGCCGCCGCGAGTCCTCGCTCCTCAAACTGCCCTGCGAACGCGCACAGGTGAGAGAGCGCCCTGGGCCTGCGACACGCTCACCGGCGACAGGAAGTTCGCGCGCGGCGACGAGCGGGATGCACTCGCGGCAGAAGCGCTTCCTCTGCCCCCTCTGCTCCAAGCGCTTCCCCCGCAGCGACCACCTGTCCGAGCTCGCGCCGCGCCCCCGGCTGCCGCCGTAACTGCTCCGGAGCTCGCGGCGGAACATCTCACCCAGCGACTCGCTGCCCGCAGCCCGGCCGGAGCCCCGTGTAGCCTGCCCGGACCTCGCCTCGCCCAGAGCACCAGCAACCGGCTTCTTGTCCCCGCCCCCTTCCAGCCGTCCCCTGAGGGCCCCTCAGATGCCTCTCACCTCTTCAAGGGAGCAAGGAGGAGGCCTGAGGCTGGACTGCGGTCCGCGGAGCCTTGGAGATGGCCGTCCGGCATAGGGGAGTGGGGCCCGTGTCTGTAAGCGCGTGACCTTTTATTTTTTCATTGTTTTTTAATGAGTTTACCAACAAATGGACAGAGACATTGAAAGGTGAGGACAAGATAGACAACTTTAGAGCCCTGCCACCAGAGGGAGCCAGACGCACGAAGCCGGTCTGACTGAGCCCATCTCTGACTCCACACCAGCCCGTCTCCGGAGCCCCTCTGGACGGTGCCCCCAAGCCCCCTCAAGATATTTAGTCGTCACATCAGCGTCCTTCCTGGACCTCCCATCCAGGCCTCAGGCCTCTCTCCATTCCCTCCTCTCTCCGCCTCCTGGGGACTCTCCCTACAACTGATCTGGTCTGAGCCTGCCTGCGCCGCCACCTCCCCCCACAGTTCCCATCCTCAGACACGGTCCCTGTTGCACCATCTGCTACTCAAGGCTGTGAACGTTCAGGCTGGGGCCAATCTCACCCGCCCCGGCTGCATGACTCACACGCCACTGCCAAAATCGCCCCATTACCGCACACCCCACCACCCCAATCCACACAAAGAAACTGAGGCATTAGAAACCGGTGCTTTCCTCAGCTGCCCTCTCAGCCAGTCTGAACAGAGCCCCCTCCTTCCCAAGATCTAGACAGGACCAGGAGCCGTCCTGTCTCCTCCTACTCAACTCTTAAGGGTGGTGAGCATTATAGGTTTATGTGAACAACTTAAAATACTGATCAAAATGTCATCCATGGCCCAGGGGAATGTTGGTGTTTTATTACTGATGGAGGTGATATTCAATAGAGCCTGCGTGCATGAGGTTTCACACAGGGTAGCCTTTTTAAGACATAAATCTGTTCGTACCCTCTGTTGCTTAAAATTTTTCCCACTGTCTCCATGATAAAATCCAAGCCATCTGCACGGTGTCCCTGGTCTTTGTGAACAGGCCACACAGCCTTGGCTTGACAGCTACCCCTTCTGAGAACAGACCGAGATCTTTCTGGTTGAGGACACCCCAGCCCCGCTCCCCTGGACTGACCCCTGCTCATGCCTTGGGTCACCCATCCCCGTGAAGGACCCTCACAGCCAGGACACAGCTGCATGACACCCCCTCCCACGGAGCCTCACCGCCTCATTTTCCTTTTCCTCCCGACGCCTACAGTCTCACGAGACTGCAACTGAGCTGCCGGCCGTCTCAGTATCTGCACTGTCTGTCTTCATTCATCGGAGGCCCCGCGAGGCCAGGGGAAGAATCCGGCAGCTTCCGCAGTGACTCCGCAGAGCCTGGCACCGTGACCGCACGCGGCCCCTGCTCAGTCAATACTGCCCGACGGCCTGGTCAGGGAGAAAGAGGAAGAAATGGCCTTCACAGAGGCTCAGGGGAGGGAAGTGACTTATGCAAGGAAACAAAGGTTCAAGGAAAAGCAGAGTCAGAATAGAAACAGAAATTGGGCTGCTCCTCTCCCAGTGTCCTCTACCCTCATGTTCCGGGGCAGGTGTCTCCCTCTGGGTTTCAGTGTCACGTGAGCTGGAGGCAGACATGGGGGCTCTGCTGATACTCACCTCAGGGTGGAAGGTCCAGAGCTAGGTGCCTCCTGGGGCCCATCCTTCAGGAAGGGGCACTTCCCTTCCGGTGGCTGCCGATGAGGAACCTAAGACATGTCACATGATGCCGGGGACCCGTACGCCCCATTTGTCTCCCTGACTTGCCAGTGAATCTCACACGTCGTCTGCACACTGGAGACCATGGGAGGAGGCCCCAGGACCCCGACCCTCACGGCCCTCCTCTGCCTGGGTGAGCTGCAGGGAAGAGGAGGGGTGGGGGCCCCTCCCCTCCCGGGTCCTGGTCCCGAGGGACCCCAGGACTCAGGAGGCTCACGGGAACAGAGCTGCTTGGGGGAGGAGAGGTGGCTCCGACCAGGCCTGGAGCCTCTGCGTGAGGGTTGAAGGACGATCTCACGGGGACTCCCTTCCAGGGCTGTGTGGGGGCCCCTGGGACCAGGTCCGGGCAGGTGAGTCCTCCCCCTGACCTCCTGCTTCAGCACAATGACCCCTGGGCAGCTGGGGACACACAGTGGGTCTGCAACGATGCTGACCAGTCTGGGAGGGGCCTGGGAGTGACAGCTGGGGGAAGTGCGGGGAGAAGGGCACCCCCTGACACCGCACATCTGAACCCTTTTCAGAGGCCCTCCCCAGACCCTCCCTCTGGGCTGACCCAGGCCCCATGGTCAGCAAGGGCAGCCCTGTGACCCTCTGGTGTCAGGGGTCTCTGCGGGCTGATGCCTACGGTCTGTATAAAGAGAGGCGCTCTGAGCCCTGGCTTACAAGCATCCCACAGGCCTCCAACAACAAGACCGGGTTCCGCATTCGATCCACGACATCACACGATGCAGCGCCATACGAGTGTGTCTACAGGGCTGGGCACACCCTGTCTGAGCGCAGCGAGCCCCTCGTCCTGGTGGTGACGGGTAAGGAGGACCCCGGTCCCCTCCCCACTGCGGGCTCCCCCTCAGAGGCTGAAGGGAACAGAGTGGGGTTTTAGGGGGCCGCACCCCTCCCAGCCCACAGCTGGGGAAGGTGGGGTGTTGCTCCCCTTTAACTCACATCCTCCTTCTCCCTCAGGAGTGTTCAGTGCACCGTCCCTCGCAGCCCAGCCAAGCCCGGTGGTGGCCTCAGGGGGGAACGTGTCCCTCGTGTGTACCTCACAGTCCACATCCGGCCCTTTCCACCTGCTGAACGAGGGAGGGGCTGAGCCCCCCCGACGCATGGAATCGGAACGGAGGTCCAACGATGGGACATCGTGGACCCAGGCCGTCTTCCCGGTGGGCCCCGTGAGCGCTTCCCGCGGGGGGACCTACAGATGCTATGCATCCTCCGGCTCCTACCCCCACATATGGTCACACCCCAGTGACCCTGTGCACATCCAGGTCACAGGTGCGGTTTCCCTCACTAGGCTTCAATTCCTTCCTGGGCCCAAATAACTGATCTAAATCTAAATGGGGGTCAGTGATCCAGATTTACTGTGTTTGCGGACAGAACCACAAACAGGAGGCTTAGAGGGGGACAGGTGAGGACTCTCCCTGCAGCCCCAGTGGAGGGGGGGATGGGTGTCCCCTGGCTGCCAATGGCCCTTCTCCCCAGGCCTGTACAGGTCGCCCTCCCTCCGGGCCCAGCCAGCCTCCCTGCTGCTGCCTGGGGACAACCTGACCCTCCAGTGTCGCTCGGAGCCCGGCTTTGACAGATTCGCTCTGACCAAGGACGAGGGGCCCACACCCCCTCAGCGTCTCGATGGGCAGCACAGCCCCGACTTCCCCCTGGGCCCTGTGACCCGCACCCACGGGGGCCGGTACAGGTGCTACAGCGGACACAGCCTCTCCCATGCGTGGTCGGCCCCCAGCGCCCCCCTGGACGTCCTGATCGCGGGTGAGGAGCCCTGCCCTGTCCCCTGTCCTGACTGTCTGCTCAGAGCTCCAGACCGGGGTCACCATGGCGATGATGGGGCCCAGGAGAGGGTCCTGGAGCAGAGGCTGAGGGGCGAGGACTAGGGGAGGGAGTGAGCGTGAGGGAGGGAGGGGCATGGAGAGAGAAGACACTCACCCAGAGTGGCTGAGGGGTCACCGACAGCGTCCCTGGGGAAGGACAGATTCTCAGCTCAGGGCCAAGGGCATGGGGGGAGGGGGGTGACCCTCTGCACAGCACCGCCCTCCTCTCCCCAGGAGCAGACAGCAAACCCTCCCTGTCGGCCCGGCCGCGGCCCCTGGGTCCCTGGGGAGCGAACGTGACCCTGCTGTGTCGATCTGAGACCAAGGCTGACACCTTCCACCTGCAGAGGGAGGGCTCCCTGGACCCTCCCCTGGAGCTTCGACTGCAGGGCACGGCTGCCCCCTCGGAGGCCACCTTCACCATCAGTCCTGTGACCTCGGGCCACGGTGGGACCTACAGGTGCTACAGCTCCCACAGCACCTCCCCCTTCCTGCTCTCACAGCCCAGTGACCCCCTGGAGCTCGCGGTCTCAGGTGAGGGCCTCCCACCCCATGTCCACTGAGGGAGCTGACCCCGCCCCAGGACAGCTCTGGGCTGGGGTGGGAACGGGGGGAAACAGCGAAGCCATCCACGGGGTATTCCCACCCCATAACAAGATGGAAAAGAAGGGGGGTCGGCCACGCTCTCCATGCCTCACCCCACATGAGGGTCTGAGCAGGGCTGAGACTGAGAGTGTGAATTGCCAGCATTCGGGGGGCGGGGGGGATGGGATCTTAGAGGATATGAAGACACACGCAGCACCCCACAGCCTCCCTGGTCCCTGTTTCATGCAGCACTTGGGACCTGCCGACCTCCCCCTCACGGCCATACTCCCTGGCTGTCGGGTACCAGAGTCCCCTTAGCCCAGAGGAGACACGGTCTCCACCAGGCCTCTGCTCCTTTCCCAGTTTATACTTCAACACATCAAATAGTTACAAAAGGATTTGTTTCCTCAAGGCCTGGGGATAAAGGTGGAGGCTTAAGGGAGGGGCCTCGCGTCTCAAGGAGCAGTGCGGCCCCGGGGCCTGTGTGGTCAGTGCAGAGCGAATGGACGGAGGGGAGCCTGGGCCGCGCAGGTGGGAGAGGGAGCAGGCGCCTCTGTCCGTGGTGCTGAATCAGGGCCCTGCGTCTTCCGGGCCCCTGTGCAACCAGGCCCACGTGGGAGATGCAGGCAAGGGGTCCCCTCATTTCTGGGTCCCTGGAAGTGGGGTGCACTGGGAGTCTAAGCGGAACTGCGGCTGGCTCACCCTCCTTGAGGTGAATCCCAGTGACAAAATCCTATCTGTACCTGGGACATGATTCTCTCCTCTAACAAAGCAGAATCCGATCCAGGACTTGAACAAGTGCGATCAGCTGAGATCTCTGGGGCCGGTGAGCCCGTGTGGGAGAAGGAACAGGAGTCCACCCAGAGCTGGTTCCGTGTCCACGGGGAGCCACTCTCGTGACGAGGGTGTGGAGAGGCGGCGGGATTCCCGCTCAGCTCCCATGAGCCCCGGGGGGCGGCCGGGGCAGGGCGACCTCCAAGCCGCCCCCATCAGAGCTCCTGTCAGCGCCCCTCCCCCCTCAGGGTGCCCAGGGGTTTCCCGGGATTTCCTGTCTCAACTGAGCACAGCCTATCTTACCTCAATACATAGCTGTATTTTTGTCCAAGTGTTTATCTAAACATTTTATTCCACTATTTACGTTGTCTGCTTGTTTCTTATCAATCTTCCTGTTCAGGCTACACACTCAGTGAATAATTAGGTCTGGTAGTTGTGGTCATCTTTGATCCCAGCAAGACTGCAAAGTGTATTGTATACCTTCCATCATTTATTTCCTAACGAACAGGTCGATAGAGGTAATAAAAATGATGTGAAAATATATAATCCTCAGAGACACAAGGAACAAGCTGAAGTGAGGGAACTATAAGGTAGACCCAGCCGTTCATTCCTTCATGCTACGGATTTTGAGAAAAAATTAAGGCCCAAAAGGTCACCTTTGCAACCTAATTAGAGGCAGATATAAGGCCAGAGATGCTCATCTCAAGGGAAGCGACGGGCATCACAGGTTACAGGGACTCCCTGCAGGTCGGGGAAGACACGACGTGGCATTGCCACGTCTCCTCTCCCACAGCCTGCGTGTGACTGATTCTCAGGGGCAGCTGACACCTGGGACCATCACAGAATCAGTCAGACTCCAGGAGCGGAGGGGGAGGCGTAATTCTCAGTCACAGGGCGAAGGGCAGAGGGTCAGCTCCAGTCAATGGAAGTCAGGTGGTTGGACAGACATCCAGGGAACCTGGGGCGATTGTGCGTTACCCTCACCTCTCTGCCCTCTCTGTCCTCAACCTCCAGACTCAACCGCCCACGACTACACAGTGGGGAACGCCGTCCGGTTGGGTGTGTCTGGCCTGATCCTCCTGGTCCTCGGGGGGCTGCTGTTGGAAGCTTGGCACAGCCAGAGAAGACCCCGCGGCGCGGCCAGGAGGTGAGCACAAGAGACAACAAACCCACCCTCCAGGAAGGCAGACGCTGGGAAAGAGTCTGATGATGCCCAGAAGCCCTGGAAGAAACCGTGGGAAGCGTGGGAAAGTGTGTGCAGAGGCCGTGGGGGCTGTGGCCGTGGCCCTCGCGCGGGGAGGTGGCGGGGCTGCGGCTGCGGAGGCTCTTCCACAGTTAAACTGCGGTCGCCTCCCTTCCCGCCTCTGCTGGGTTTCCCGGACCGGCCCCTCTCCCCTCACCCCATTGACCTGGGGTCGCAGCCCCCTCGCAGGTCAGACCCACACCTGTGCTCACCTTCTACCTCTGGTCCACCTTCATGGAGGACGTTTTTCTCACGTTTATTGACCACATTCACCGTGAGTCTCTTTAGCTAAGACAACAAATCCCTTTTAAACAGCTAAATAAATGGATAAATACCGGAATAGTCTAGACTCGTGGGCACGAACAGTAGCATGATGCTTCCCAGAGGGAAGGGGTCAGACTGAGACAGAAGACGGTAAAGGGAGAGGAACCCACGCGGACGAGGGGGAGCTTGGCTTTGGAAGGTGCACACCGTGCGCTGTCCAGACGGTGTGTCGTAGGACTGTGTGCTCGAAACCTCTGTCATCCTTTTAAGATTTCATTTGTTTATTTGTTTGCTTGCTTGTCTGTTTTGAGAGAGGGAGGGAGCGAGGGAGAGAAGCATTGACGTGGGAAAGAAACATCGATCTGTTGCCTCTCCGTCACCCTCCACCAGCGGCCTGTCCCGCAACCCAGCCACGTGCGCTGACCCAGAATCCGTGGAGCAGATAAAGGCCTTGGTGTGGTTCCTTCCTCCAGAAACGCCAGCAGGTGGGACGAGGGCGCAGGTTCTTCACAGGACAGTCAGGCGGTGCGTTTGTGAGCCACCTCCAAGAAAACACCGTTTAGGTTTTGCTTTTCCCAAAAGCCCTGACTGGTGGCACTTGCCGAATTCCCGGGCGTAGATGCTTCTGGAGCGCGGGGAGAGCCGCCCACCACCCTCCCCCGGAGCCTCCGTCATTGTCCCCACCCCCCACCAGCCTCACGGACTCGCGGCCGCGCACCCTGCGGGGCCTGTCGGCGGCGGGGACCTTCCTGGGTCACTTCGCCTCGTCGTGCTCAGGGCGGGCTCCGGGGGCGCACGAGGCGCTGCGGACGGACGGGCCCAGAGCGCGGACCCCGCCGCGGACCTGCGTGTGCGCCGCGTGGCTCGCCCGGGCCCGAAACCACGGCCCTGCCACCCCTGCGGACCGACCTGCGTGCGGTCCGCGGAGTTCCGACGAGGCGCCCGCCGTCCTCCCCGTCCCCCCTAGTCCGGGTCCTCTCGCACCCGGTGCCGGTCCTAGGCCTGCGCCGCCGCCGCCAAGAGCCTCCGCTGTCCCTTCCGGGGCTGCGCCAAAGCCGCCGCGAGTCCTCGCTCCTCAAACTGCCCTGCGAACGCGCACAGGTGAGAGAGCGCCCTGGGCCTGCGACAGGCTCACCGGCGACAGGAAGTTCGCGCGCGGCGACGAGCGGGATGCACTCGCGGCAGAAGCGCTTCCTCTGCCCCCTCTGCTCCAAGCGCTTCCCCCGCAGCGACCACCTGTCCAAGCTCGCGCCGCGCCCCCGGCTGCCGCCGTAACTGCTCCGGAGCTCGCGGCGGAACATCTCACCCAGCGACTCGCTGCCCGCAGCCCGGCCGGAGCCCCGGGCACAGCACAGCCCTCAGCCCTGCCCCTGCCGGCCTGCGCGGCCCCGTGCCGCCCGCCCCGACCTCGCCCCGCCCACAGCACCGGCGACGGGCTTGTCCCCGCCCCCTTCCAGCGGTCCCCTGAGGGCCCTAAGATGCCTCTGACCCCCTCAAGGGAACAAAGAGGAGGCCTGAGGGTGGACTGAGGTCAGCTGGACCTTGGAGATGGCCGTCCGGCATAGGGGAGTGGGGCCCGTGTCTGTGAATGCGTGACCTTTTATTTTTTCATTGTTTTTTAATGAGTTTACCAACAACTGGACAGAGACATTGAAAGGTGAGGACAAGATAGACAACTTTAGAGCCCTGCCACCAGAGGGAGCCAGACGCACGAAGCCGGTGCATCCGGACAAGGTCCGGGAGCCCCGGAAAAAGAGCAGGACCGACGGGAAGGATCTCTCAAGCGCCGGCAGCGGGTGAAGCTGGAAGGAGGGGACTGCGACACACAGCTCCAAAGAACACGAAGGATCAAAATCTCTGCCATCGCCAAAGACCATACTGACACCCCAGTACTGCACCAGAGGCGTGGAGAACTGCAATTTAGCCAATAGACAATTCAAAGAAACTCCATGAACTAAAGACAAAAAACAAAAGCCAGTTCAATAAAGTCAGGAGAACATTACAGGGACCAAATAGAAAACCTGAACAATGAGACAGAGATCATTAAAAAAAAAAAAAAGCCATAAATTCTGTGGCTGAAATATTAAATGAATGAAATGAACAATGGTATAGAGGGCATCAACCAAAGAAAAGACCAAGAACAAAAATAAGATGCCAATATTCTTGTTGACTATAGATACAAAATGCCTCAACGAATATTAGCGTGATGATTAAAGAGCACATTAAAAGTTTCACACACCGTGGTCAAATGGGATTTAACATGGGGTCCTGAACATTGGCAAATGATTTCAACAGGTGTAAATCAATAAATGTTTTCACCACAATGATTAAGTAAATGATATAAAACATATAGTTGTTTCATGGGTGCAGAGAAGGCATTGGAAAAATACAGCATTCTTTCATAATAAACTTTTCAAATAGACGCTGACCACAAATTGGGGATGGAATGAACACACCTCTACAAAATAAAGGTCACAGGTGGTAAGCCCACAGTTGACGTCATATTCAACAGTGAAAAGCTGGAAGTTTGTCTTTTGGGATCAGCCATAAGACAAGGATGCATACTCTCACCCCTCCTATGCAACACATACTAACCATCTTAGGCAGGGCAGTCAGACAAGAAAAAGAAACAAAGGGCATCCAAATAGGAAAGAAAGAAATAAAACTGTTGCTGATGATGCAATCTTATAAATAAAAAAAACCCTAAAAAGTCCACCAAGAAAATGGTGAGAATGAATAAACAAATTCAGTAAAGTTGCAGTGTACAAAATGACCATATAAAAATCAGCGGCATTTCTATACACAAACAATAAAAGTTCAGAAAAGGAAATAAAGAATGATTCCATTTACAATAGCATCAAAAACAACATATGTCCATGGAGGTGAAAGATCTGGACATGAAAACTTTGAAAAAAGAAACTGAAAAGACACAAATAAATGGAAATAAAATATATCCCCTATTCACAGTTTGGAAGAATGTGAATTCTTCCAATTCAATGCAATGCCTATAAAAATTATACATGCATTTTTCACAGAAATAGATAATAAAATTCACACAAAACATCAAAAACCCAATAGCCAAAGAAATCTTGAAAATGAAGAAGAAAGGTGGAGGCATTACACTGCCTGATATCAAATTATACTACAGAGCTGTAATAATAAAACAGTATGGCAGCTGCGCAAAAAAAAAAAAAAGACATACAGACCAATCAAACAGAATCAAAATCACAGAAATAAAACCACACATTAGCTAATATATGCCAGAGTGAAAGGATTTGGCAAAATCTAACAAAACTCTTGCATCACCAAAAATGAATGGAGCACCCACAGCCTGATAAAGGCACCAGTGCAAAGCCTACACTGAACACCACATCTCAGGGGGGAAACTTAATGTACGTGGAAAATACATTAAAGAGGAGGTGGCTGGAGACAAGGACCTGAAGTGCGAGAAAGGAGCCTTGTGGGCGGGAGGCCCGTGGTCTTGAAAGGCACTTGTCTTCCCACAGGAAGCCTCCTCCCTGTGGCCATCGAGGCCCCATAAGGGCCCCCGCAGAGCCCGTCGTTCTCACAGTGAGACACATCCTAGAACCTCCTGTGGAAGAGGGGCAATAGTTCACCCGAATGAGGGTCTTGCCCTCGGGAAAAGCCAGGTGAGTCCAGGAGGGACCGTGCAGCCACTGGCCCAGCAGAACGTCTTCAAGACCCTTCAGGAAGGGAGTCCTCACACCTGCCTTCCCCGAGGCTCCTTGCTGGTTACATGCACCTGCACATAAACCATTAGCTCCCACAGCTCTGCCGTCTCCCAGCGCAGGAGTCTCCAGGGGAAGTGGGTGGGATCCGCAGCCGCCTGGGAGTGTGAACCATCACTTCCAGCTGAGTGTCTCACGTAGGCATGTGGACTGTGGATGTCACAAAATCATGTATGAATGACCCGTGGAAGTGGACGGCAGTGTGGGAATCGATGGGGGGAGAGGGCAAAGAAAATGGGACAACTATATAGAATAAACAAAAATGAAACATAAATATTATTCCATAAAGTAGTCATGAAGCTCACGTGAGATGATGCATGGGTCACAGAATACGAACGTCATTCCTTTACAATTATTAACCATCGGCAGCTTTTGAGGCGGTACCCTCTCAAGATCGCCGAGAACAAGGAGCATCAATGCGTAGTTTCCCCTTCGCTGTGGGACCTTAAACGGCTAAAACGTCCCTGGTAACACACACACTATGAATCTTTTCTGGCTGAGGGTACAAGGGGTTCCCTGGTGGCCCCCGTGTCCCAGAGGCGGCGTTTCCCGACTTGGCTGAGCTCCCAGGGAGTGACGGAGACCCGGGCCGGGGGAGGCGGGGAGGCTGCCCAGGGCCCAGCAGGACCAGGCTGCCGGGGCGCCGGTTCCCCGCTGCCGCAGGCGCGCTCTCAGCCCTGGGCCGCAGGCACGGGCAGGGGCGGCCGTGGCCCCTGCCGTGGGCTGGCTGGGCAGTTGCGCTGAGGGAGGCCTTGCATTTCAGCCACGTGGGAGATGGAGGGGTCGGTTCCAGAGCAGAAAGTTTTGTAGGAAACCGAAATACCCAGAACCACCTCCCACAACTTCAGAGCAACGAGCCCAGGAGTCCCCGGAGCGGGGGATTCGGAAGCGGGGATGGCAGAGCTACGGGGCTCCCTGCACGCTCCTCACTGACCGTCTGCTCCGGGAGGCCCGTCCCCGCGGTCCGCTGCGGCCGCTCTTCGCTGCGAGGAAACCTGGTCCCAGTGGCTTTGTCATTAGAGTGATTTTCATTTTCCAGAGAAAATAATGTTACAACTTTATTTTTAGGACCCCTGGCCACTGCTTCTTAATTTGTTTAGCTGAACTTCACATAATATAATAATAACCATTTTAATGTGTATAATTCAATGTAAGATAGGATTTTCCCATCTGAATTTACCCTTCATTTGCTTCATTTACCACAAGAGAACACGATTCGGATTTCATTTTTCAATACTCGCCCCCTGGCCCTTAGCTGTTCTTGCTCATCTCTGTAAAATGTTCATTTTTTATCTCTTGAGCTGTTACTGAATGTCAAGCTCACTTGTTTCTTTCTGACGCCATAGATACGGCCTTGGCCCTCCTCATTCTAGTGCCCAAGTTGCCCCCATTCCTCACTTCCTCTCCCCATGCAGCATTCCAGAAATTTCCTCAGTGTTGTACTCCACTGTCATAATTGGCCCTTCAGCTGGGTCACATCCTTGAAGGGAACAATTGTTTTAATGTGTCCATTCCCTCAGGTTACTCATCTCCCAGATTTCCAACTGAAAACATCCCTCTGCAAAAAAGGGGGAAAAAAAAAAGCCACCTCACATCCCTGGCTCAAAATTTGAATCCTCCCTCTCTTTTTCAGGAACTTAAACATGATCATCTTAATTTACTTTCATATTTTCCTACTGATTCTCTTTCGTTGCATGTGACAGCCCCCAGTATCAGTAGGCAGCTGCCCACTGCGCGCTGTCATGGTTAGGATCTCTCTACTGTCCAGTCTTGTCGAAGTCTCTGCCTGCACACACCTGGTCCCCCACAGGTTCCCCGGGGCTGTCCTGGGAGTCAGGTTCACCTTGGGCTGTGGCCGCTGCCCCCGCCCCATGGCGTCCACTCGCGCAGACTCAGCACCTGCTCAGCCTTCTGCCCACCAGGGCTGGTCCAATGGGAGACTCACACGCACGCACGGGACAGGCACCCATGGCTGAAATACACAACTCAGCCTGTGTCAGGACACTCAGGGAAGACTGCTCACTGCTGACCATGGACTTGGGCCAGTGGGCAGACAGCCCAGAGCCCGCACAGAAACACGGGGAAGGGACCACGCTTCCCGCCTTCACCTGCATGATGACCCCCTTCCTGGGAGGACCGGAGGTCCCTCTCGGTCCTTTCGCGGGGAAATCTCCTCGTTATGACCCATTGATGGCCCCAGTCACTGGGGGCCCCCCAGCTTTGGTTTCTGTTCTGCACTGTGGTTCCCTCTCTTGGGAAACTTTCATATCTCTTTCCTGCACACGTCGGGGCCTCCATGCTTGGCGCCATGGTGAGTAGCTGCGCTTGGTATTCAGAGCAGACAAGGTCCCGAGCGGGTGCAACAATCCTGCCCTTGACCCGGGCACCTTGATCCTCTCATGTCCCAGCCCATTCACACCTTCACCGGGTCCGGAAATGGGCGTCTCCCTCCCATGGCCCAGCACCACTGGCCCCCAGCCACCGTGGGGACTGCGGTTTGTGACAACGTGGTCCAGAGGAGGCAACTGGAACATGACCACACAGAGTCCTCGGGCATTGGGTGATGGTTATATAAATAAATACTTGTTAAAAGTAAACATCAGGGCTCCTACCCAAATCAGCATCCCGTAAATCTTTCAGCAGGACCACAGCATGAGGAGGTTTGAACCAGGAAACTGGGGGCACTGAGGGGGCAGGGACCCCTCAGAGCCTTGTTTCCAGGGACGTGGGGTGGGCGCGGTTGCTCAGGAAAAAGGAGAAGTCCGTTTGGTGGCTGGGAGGGAAATAAGCCACACTCTGGGGCCAGGGGAAGGGGCGTGTTTCCTTCCCCCACTTCCCTGGACGTGTCCTTTGTGCGCATGGTCACAGCGGCAGGCGCCTGGACGGCACAGTGAGAAGGAGACCGTGTCTCTGCCGCTCTGAGCTCTGCAGGCACAGGGACCCCGTCTTCCTGAGCGTCTCCAGGGCCTGGGTGACCACTGCCCATGGGGAGGACCCACAGGGAGGTGCCGATGGACAAGCAGAGTGTGAAGGGGACCCCGTGGGGGAGGCTCTGACCTGGAAGGACGTGCCTGGGTCACCTCACCTGCAAGGGGCGTCTCCGGAGGCTCAGGGTCTGTTTCTTCCTCCATAGTGAATGTGGGAACCAGGCTCCTGATGAAACGTTGTTCCCCTTCCCGAGGGGCTGCTGACCTGACAACCCCGTGACAGGGACGGCCAGCCTCCCAGGGACCACAGCCTACGTGTCTGTCCACCCGGAGGACTCCGTGGTCTCTTCCTCCTGCACAGCCGGCTTCAGAGAGGAGACGCCATGCCCCCCACCCTCACCGCCCTGCTCTGCCTCGGTGAATGTCAGGGGGGAGGGGGAGCCCTGCTCTGCCAGGACCCAGGGCTCAGGACGCTCCCGGGGAGGGGGGCTCTGCTCAGGACTCAGGGCACATCCCTCACGGGGACTCTCTTGCAGGGCTGAGCGTGGGCCTGGGGACCCCAGTGCAGGCAGGTGAGTCTGTCCTCAGGGGTCCCAGGCCCCATGCCTCCTAGGGGACCAGAGACCACACACAGGCAGCTGGGATTGGAGAGGAGCAGATCTGACAGCTGCGGGACGTCTGGGAGCGGCCTGGGGGTGACAGCTGGGGACTGGGCTTGGGGAATGTGCTGCGTCCCAGCCTCTGATTTCCTTCCAGGGACCTTCTCCAAGCCCACGCTCTAGGCAGAGCCAGGCCCTGTGATCCCCTGGGGGAGCCCAGTGACCGTCTGGTGTTCGAGGGACACGGGGGCCCAAAACTTGGCTCTGTATAAAGGCGAAACCCCACTGACTTGGGACACAGAGATGCCACTGGGTCCCAGGGACAAGGCCAAGTTCTCCATCACACAGATGACAGAGCGCACTGCAGGGTTATATCACTGTTACTATTATATATACGGTGTCTGGTCACAGTCCAGTGACCCCCTGGAGCTGGTGGTGACAGGTGAGAGGACACTCAGGGGTCCCAGCCTCAGGCTCTGCCCTCCGGGAGGGAGGTGCTCCCAGGGTGTCTCCCTCACAGCCCAGCCCTGGGGGATGTGAGGGGGGTGTGATCCCCATCTACCTCACTGCCTCCGTCTCTCCTAGGAGCCTACAGCAAACCCAGCCTCTCGGCCCTGCCCAGCCCTGTCGTGACCTCAGGAGGGAACGTGACCCTCCAGTGTGGCTCACGGGAAGGCTTTGACAGGTTCGTTCTGATGAAGGAAGGAGAACACAGGCTCCCCTGGGCCCTGGACTCACAGCGACTCCCCAGTGGGCAGTCCCAGGCCCTGTTCCCTGTGGGCCCCGTGATGTCTGTCCACCGGTGGAGGCTCAGATGCTATGGCTGTTACAGGAAGAGCCTCCAAGTGTGGTCACAGCCCAGTGACCCCCTGGAGCTCCAGGTCTCAGGTGAGGCCCCTCACCCTGTCATTCTGAGCTGTTAGCTCAGGTCCTCGTACCCACAAGAAGTATGGTTTGAAAGGAGAGATTTGGGGCTCCAAGGACAGTCACCCAGAAGGCATCTGCCCCTCAGAGACCCCGCTGCCCCTGCCCACCCCGCCCCCTCACCTGGTTTAGAAGGTGCCAGGGGAGCAGCAAGAGGCCGTCGGAAGCCACGGTGCAGACGGAGGAGGAATCTGAGCGAGGCGGGGACTCCAGGGGCAGCCCAGACTCTCACCCCCTTCTCTCCTCCTTCCCAGGACCCTCTGGAAACCCCAGCCCCCCACCCACAGGGCCCACCTCCGCCGCTTGTGAATCACTGTGTCTCCTCCGCTCAGAGGGAGCGCAGAGCAGCCCCGGGTGGTCCCAAGTCTCTCAGAGGGTCTAATGTCCCCATAGACACTGAAGGACAGGGGGTCCTAGAGGGGGGGAGAGGGGGAGGAGGGTGTCGGGGAGGGATTTCAGGGGACCCATCAGGGTTTAGGGACTCTGAGGGTTCTCCCCTCCCCACCACGGTGACACCCCGTGCAGTGAAGAGGGCGGTGCCAGGTGGGAGGGTCATGACGGAGGGAGACGTTGGGGACCACCCCGGGGGACGAGCCAGGCTCATGAGGGGAGAAGGCAGCCCCCACTCCTCACCCCCTTCCTGAATTTCCAGGGGGCTCGACGTCGGCCCCCCCCATGGAGTCAGGCCCCCAGAGTCTCTGCGGAGAGCTGGTGGGTGTGTCCACGGGGACAGGGGCTGGGTCCCTGGAAGTTCAGGCTCCTCTGGAGGCTCTGACTTGGACTCGCCCTCCCCTCTCTGTGCCTCAGTGTCTCCAAGTGTCAACGGAGAGACTCCTGGCCCAGAGCTTAGATTCCTTTCAGCTCTGGCTCTAAACTCCTGGGAGGGGATCCTCACAGGGAGGCCCCTAGGATGTGATCTTATGAGGTCTGTCCCCTCTACAGCAGCAATGGTGACACTGTACAGGGACAGGGAGGACATGGGTTTGGGACACTCGGGTCCTTTCCTCAGCTCAGGTGCTCAGCTGAGAGGAGGGAACCAGGGCTGGAGTCAGACCTGGGTCAGGTCCAGGCTCTGCGGCTCCTGCTGTGGGGCCCACGGTCCCTTCTCTTCTCTGAGTGTCGGGTTCATGTCTGTCACCCCTGGTCCCCTCCTGCTCACAGGCCTGCGGTGACATAAGGGGCCTCACAGAGCTCAGGAAGGCAGAGCCCCCAGCCCAGCCCGACCTTCCCAAGGGGCGATAAGGGCTCACCCCAAGCCCCTGCCCCTCCCGTGTCCCTGCTGGGCTGGGGGGCAGGGAATAGGGCAGGACCCTCCGCTCCAGATGGGACAGGACAGGCCCCTGCAGAGGAGGAGCCCAGAGCTCGGAGCTGGTGTCCCCAGGGGGCAGCATGGGGACAGCACAGGGAACCCACGTCCGGGGTCCGGTCCCTGCCCTGTCCCAGCCAGGCTGGGGGCCCCGGGGACGCGGCTCACTTCTCTGAGCCCCCGGGGACTGGGCAGTGGGTCAGCGATCCCTGGTGCAGGGGGGCTGTGAGGTTAGAGGAGACGAACCACAGACCCCAGCATGTGCCTCGCACACAGTAGGGGCTCATGAAAGGGCATCTAGGCTCATTCACGATGTCACTCCAGCCCAAGGTTTCCAGCGGTTCCTGAACATCCTGATCGGGGTCTCGGCGGCCCTCACGCTGCTGCTCGCCCTCCTCCTCTTCCTCTTCCTCCGACACCGGAGTCAGAAAAAAGGCAGGACGTCGGGTGAGTAGGGGACGGGGTGACCTGGGCCACAGGAGAGAGGGGCTCAGGGCACCTGCCACAGGGAAATCAAATAGATGAGGAAGGTCAGCTGAGCAACAGATTTCTCCAGAATCTCAAATCAGAAATTCTAGAAAGAAAGCACTCAATGTCAGAACATGTATATAAAGGCAAGGTCATCTTTCATCATTTTCCGTTTCCTGAAACATGAACCTCATGCACAAGCATGTGTTAAGGTTTCCTTCTTCCCTCTGGGATCATGCGGGGAGGGCCCCCCACCCAGCCAGGGGCGGGACTGTCCCTCTTGACCAGCCCAGAGAGAGGCTGATGTCTGACCTCCTGCAGGGGCCACGGACTCGGACCCGAAGGACAGAGGCCTGCAGATCAGGTAATTCCTGTGCTGAAGACCCCAGACCCCCACCGCACAAGACCCCGCGCTGCCTCTAACACCCTGTCTCCTCCCTCAGCTCCCGCCCAGCTGCGGACGCCCAGGAAGAGCCCCTCTGTGAGAGGAAGGGACCGCTGCCCTGGGGGAGGGGCACAGGGGTTCCAGGAGGCCACGGGGGAGGGGACAGCCTGGGAGGGTGTGGGGTCAGGGGTGAGGGGGACGGAAATCCCCACAGCCTGACCTGGCCCCTCACCTCACCCTGGGTGAGTGGCCCATCTGGGGGCAGCGGGTCTGCAGCCCTGGGATCCCGGGGACCCTGCCAGGAGACACACCCTGTTCTGCCTCCGCAGATGCTGCCGTGAAGGACCCACAGGCTGGGGAGGGCGTGGAGCTGGACCCTCGGGTGAGACCCCTGCCCCTGTCCAGGCCTCCAAGGACCTTCCTGTTGCCCAGTTCACTCCAAGGGTCCCTCCCCTGTGCTCCCCTCCCCTGGTTCTCAGCAGCGTCCACACTGACCTCTCCTTCTGGGCACCAGGCCGTCCTGCTGTGACTCGCTCCTCCCTTTCCTGGGACCTCATGGCCCCTCCTGGGGGGTCCCCTGGGCTGGCCCCTCGTCCCCTGTGTGACCTTGGGCAGCCCCAGGTCTCAGGAGGAGGCGCGAATGAGTGACTCACCCCAGGCCCCAGGGCCCCTTCACTCAGTCACGCAGCCGCCGTGACGGGAGCTCCCTGGGCACCGGCTCCATGTAGGGGCCGCGGTGCCGCCCCGAGCAGCCTGTCCCCACACTCGTCCAGCCCACCTGTGGGCGAGGGAGACACCTGCACACAGGTGATGGCGTCAGGAGGGCCAGCTGCTGTGAAGGAGAATAAAGCAAGAGCAGGGGGTGGAGTGCGTGGTGAGGGGGGAGAGCAGAGGACACAGCAGGTGCAAAGGTCCTGAGGCAGGACATGCGCTTCAGCCAGAGGGGCCGAGTGGGTGGAGCCAAATGAGCAGACACAGTGGGTTAGGTTACGAGTCAGAACCATCGATGCCCCAGATGCCCCAAGGCTCAGGAAGCCCCTGCAGATTCCATCAGGACAGTGACCTCATCTGACCTGAAGTTTAAATCCTCACTCTGACCCCATGTGGATGCTTGACGGGAGGATTCAACAGTGGGATCGAGGACATGCCGTCTCTGTCTCACTGTCTCTCTGCAGCAGAACAGGCCCCGTGACGACCCCCAGGGTGTGACATATGCCCAGGTGAAGCAGTCACGATCAAGGCTCAAGCAGGGAATGGCCCCCTCTCCTTCCCTCCTGTCACGGGAATTGCTGGACAGGAAGGGCAGACAGCAGAAGGGGACAGACAGATGGACAGACAGAGGGGTCCCACCCTCTCCAAGCCCCAGGCGTCCCCCGCCCCAGCCACGTCTCACCCTCTCACTGTCCCCTGCTCCAGGCTGCTGCACCTGCGGCCCCCCAGGAGGTGACCTACACCCAGCTGGACCGCCTGAGCCTCAGACGGGAGAGGAGTGCCCCCCCTTCCTCCCCGTCAGAGCAGCCCCCGGCTGAGCCCAGCGTGTACGCTGCTCTGGCCGTCCACTAGCCCAGGAAGGGCCCAGACTCCACACTCCAGGGCGGGGGCCTGCAGGGGCCCCAGAAGGCACAGGAGCTGCCCCCAAGGACACTCAGCTAGCGACCCCGGCCAGCCTGGAGACATGACATGCATCCCTGGTACCTCCTGGTTCTCTCTGGGAGTCCTGTTTCTATTTTCACAGATAACCAATATTCCTACGGTTTAGAATCAAAGAAACAGACTTCTCAATAATCAATATGTAAATTTAAAACCAAAACAGACGTGGGATGACATATATAGACCATGTATCATGCATATATACACTTGTAAACGTCGTAATAACCTTATTACTCAATGTCACTCCAATAAATTTAACTTTTAAAAATTTACATTTGAACAAGAAACCAAGAAAAAATCCAAGCTTAGAGAATACTTTAAATGAATGATCATGTAAATATGACATATCAAACCTATGAAATGGGAAATTAAGAACCATGGGTGAATATATTAGAAAAGAAAAAGGCAAGCACATAGAAAGCCGCCTCCAGCGGACAATGGGGTCGAGGCGCCGTAATGGACCCAGTGGAATATCGCTCCGCGGAAGAAGGGGAAGTCCTGCCATTTGTAACAACTTGGACGGATCTTGAGAGTATCGTGCGAAGTGAAATAAGACAGAAAAGGACAAGAACCATATGCTTTTACACTCACGTGGGTGAAATCTGAAACTCTGAACTGTCGTGTATATGAAATATACAGAATGTGTGACTAAAACTTGCCCTGCAAAGTGAACGTGGAGTCCGAAAAGCTTCACTGTTCAATGTTTCTGAATACTAATGTGTGTATAAAATACACGCGCGTGCGCGCGCGCGGACCTACCTGCAAATGTACACATACACACACACAGGCATACATATGGACACACATGGGCATAGAGAAAGCAATATGTAAAAAGAGAAAATAAATTCATTGATTCGGAAACAGAAGAGTGATTCCCGGAGGGGAATGGGGGGGGCTGACGACCGACAGGGTAAAGCGGGGCCCATATATGGCGGCAGAAGGAGACTAGGCTGTGGGTGGTGCGCACAGAGTGGTATAGAGATGATGTTTCATAAAACGTGCACTTGTAATGTATAAAATGTTATTAACCAGTGTTACCTCAATAAAGTTAATTCTTTTTGGCAGCTGCATAGTTCTTCCTCGTGTGAATGTGCCACAGGTCTTTCATCCACTCATCTACTGGTGGACATTTGGGCTGTTGCCAGATCTTGGCTATTGTAAATAACGCTGCTATGAACATCGGGGTGCAGATAGTCTCTCTGATGGGTGTCCCAGGATTCTTAGAGTATATTCCCAGAACTGGGATCACTGTGTCAAAAGGCAGTTCCATTTTTTATCGTTTTGAGGAAACCCCACACTGCTGTCCACAGGGGCTGCACCAGTCCGCCTCCCCACGGGCAGTGCACAAGGGGTCCCCGTTCCGCATCCTCGCCGATACTTGTGGTTTGTCGATGTATTGATGGCAGCCATTCTGGGAGATGTGAGGTGATATCTCATTATGGTTTAAGTTTGCATCTCTCTGGTGATTAGTGATGTTGAGCATTTCTTCATGTCTATCGGCCATGTGTATGTCCTCTTTGGAGAAGTGTCTATTCAGGTCTTTTGCCCATTTTTTAATTGGAGTGTTTGTCTTCCTGGTGTTGGGTTGTATAAATTCTTTATATATTTTGGAAATTTACCCCTTATCAAATGTATCATCGGCAAATATGTTGCCCCATAAGATCCGGAAACAAACAAAAAGATCGGGAAACAGTCCCTGGCTGGGTGGCTCAGTCGGTGAGACCATCACCCCGATATGCCGAGATGCCGGTTTGATCCCCAGTCGGGGCACACACAAGGATCAGCCGATGAATCAGTGCAACAAATCGATGTTTCTCTCTCTTTCCCTCTCTATCTCTCTCTCCCTTTCCCTCTCCCTCCTTTTCCCCCTCTCTCAATCAATAAATACATTTTGGAAAAAAAAGGTCTGGAAACAGCCCAAGGACCCATCAGTACATGAGCAGATAAAAAACTGTGAAACATTTACAAGCTGGAATACTACATGGCTGTAAAAAGAAAGGACTCTTAAAATTGTTGCCACAGCGTGGGTGGACTTTGAGAGTACTATGCTGAGCAAAATAAGCCAGTCGGAGAAAGACAAATAGCATACGATCTCACTCCTCTGTGGACTCTAATGAACCAAATAAACTGATGAACAAAATAGAATCAGATGCATATATACATTTAACAGACTGACAGAGGTCAGAGACAGGGTGCGGAGGACTGGATGAAAGAAGGAGAAGGGATTAGCCAAAGAAAATGCATGCGTGACCCAGGGACGCAGACAGCAGCGTGGTGACGCCAGAGGGGAAGGGGGCTGGGGGCTTGGCCGAGGTGGGCCAGCAAGGGGAAGAGGCGGGACAGCTGTCATAGTGTTGACAATAAAACTAAAGTTAAAAAATTAAAAATTAAATTAAAAAATAACAGTCGAGAGAAAGAAAGGGAGGTAGAGAGAGATCCTTTTAAAAAATAAACAACTTACCTTGGCTGGTTTGGCTCAGTGGATTCAGCTCCAGTTTGTGAACCAAAGGGTCACCTGTTTGATTCCTGGGCAGGGCACATGCCTGCGTTGGGGGCCAGGTCCCCGGCTGGGCGCATGGGAGAGGCAGCTGCCCTGTTTCTATCACACATCGATGTTTTTCTCTCTCTATTTCTTCCTCCCTTTCCCTCTCTCTAAAAATAAATCATTAAAATCTTTTTAGAAATCAACAACCTAAGCTATTGTATTTCAAAAATTTAGAAAAAGAATACAAATTATTCCAAATGAAGGTAGGAGGAGGAAAAGAATAACATTAAGAGTAGCTACTAAGGGCAAACAAAAAATAGGGAAAAAATCAGGAAAGGAAAACACTTTCAGCCTTGAAAACAGGGATCATACTTACAAAGCCCAGCACAGTGGACAAGGAACAAAGGAAGAAGCCTGACCTCAGCTCTGTCGGGACAGCGTCTCAGAGCCCGCAGTTCACACAGTAACAGAGCGCCGTGAAGCTCGTACCCCTGAAACCCAAATAATACATCATGTCAAAGATACTTTAAGTAAAAAATAATGAATTTCTTAAAAGGACATGAAATGGACAAAATTCTCAAAAATGCAATTTACCAAAATGATAGATATCAAATAATTAGGAACTCTGAACTGTCCTATGTATTAAATACATGAAATCAGTAAATTAAAATTTTCCTGCAAAGTAAGCTCCGAGTCCAAAAAGCTTCACTAATGTTTCTGAACACTTTTGCATGCATGAAGCACACAGGGACATACACCTGACACATATGGACATGCACACCAATACACACATGACCACAAATGAACATACAAATAAATACACATGCTTATGGACACAAGCACACACAAAGAAATTATACAAGCTTCTCCTGAGAATAGACAAAGAAGATTTATTCTGCCAACACAGCTTATTAGGCTAGAAATAAATTGATAAGGAAACCAAACAAGGGGGGATTTACAAAGAGAGAACATCACACACAGGAAGCTCTCTCACATGAACCCAGGTGTAGAATCCTAAACAAAATACTCACCAAGGTGCATCAGTACATAAACTGGGTAATTTACCACAGCCAGGCTGGTCTGTGTTTTCAGGAAGGCGTGGTTGTTTCCATATTCAAAACATCCATCAGGCCCTGGCTGGTGTGGCGCAGGGGATTGGCTGCCAACCTCCGGAATCAAGGGACCTCTCCTTGGATTCCCAGCCAGGGCTCACGCCTGGGCTGTGGGCCAGGTCCCCAGTAGGGGGCGTGTGAGAGCCAACCACACATTGATGTCTCTCTCCCTCTCTTCCTCCCTCCATTCCCCTCTCTCTAAAAATAAATAAATACAATCTTTTTAAAAAATCAACTAGTAGAAATCAAATATTAACAGAAGAAATAGGGGGGAAGGGATCATATCAATAGATGGTAAAGCTTTGGCTACAATGCATCGCCAATTCATAATGAAAAACACTCCTCAGAAATAAAAGGGAATTTTTCATGATTTCTAAAATCATCCTCAAAACCTATACAATAAATCATTTCTAAAGGTAAACACTTGAAGTCTGTCTGCCTGCAACTGAGACAGTGACAAGGATATTCACTCTGAACCCTTCTATTCAGCACTGGAAGAACCAGCCAGTTAAATAAACCCCCAAAAAGATGAAAAGCACTGAACGGCTGGGACAAACTGCATTACTCACAGATTACAAATCATGTGCATGGAAGATCCAGAATAATATAAAGATTCTCTTATTATAATTTGAAAAATATTTATCCAGTGCCACTGGATACATTGTTAATATATACAAATCAATTATATTTCAGATTTCGACTTTTAGACCAAAGAGAAGTAGATGTATGTCTCCCCAATCCTCAATAAAGCACAAACTCCTGGATATTCCATATATATCAAACAAAAAAACACCCCAAAAAGGAGAGGAAGGGCAGCAGATGTGCTCAGAGTGTGAAGACCCCAGAAATGACAGCACTGGTGTCAAAGGAGACCACGTGGGGCACCTGGACTGTCCCTCGCTCCTGGTGGCAAGCCACCCCATGTGCCAAGAAATGCCTTCTATAACAGAAGATCCAAACTCTCATAATAGAATACCCAAGAGGTCCAGGTTTCAATTTTTTTAAAAATCACTCGCCACAGCAGGAACCAAGAAAATCACACCTTGAATGAGAAAAGACCATTGGTAAGAGGTGCTAACACCGAGCTGTCAGCAGAGATTTAGAAGATATGAAGACGAAGACAATGAAAATTTTACATTTGGAAAAATACAATAGCCCTGGCTGGTTTGGCTCAGTGGATTGATCACCAGCCGGAGCACCAAAGGTCACCAGCTTGATTCCCAGTCAGAGCACATGCCTGGGTTGTGAGCCACGTCCTCAGCGTGGCGCATGCGAGAGACATCCGATAGGTGTATCTCTTGCACGTCGATGTTTCT